ATTCTATGTTTCTATGATTCTATGATTCTATGATAAAAAGCTCTGAGAGGAATAGGAGTGTAGCAGCGACATTCTGCTAAAACTTGTAATATTATATCACAGAGCTGACCCGTCACATCCATCAGCTGATCTGACAGTGATGGTTTCAGGCATGGAGTTTTACTGAGTTCACACAGAGTGAGTCTAGAGATGTTAATACTGCCATAAGCTATATCAAGTCATTTGCAGGTAGGATGAATGCAGGTCTAAGTAGAAAAAAAGTCCACCTACCATTTAACCAGATGTCCATGCTCTTAACTTTGGAAACCATGAAGTGCTATGGTTATGTAAGACATGACCTTATTCATAAAATGTCTAGATACCTATGCCTAGTTATATCTTTTACCTATATTGATATATAGGAAATAGTCATTGTCTCTGCCCACTGCTCTTTGCCCCATGTGTGTCTGTTCTATAATGAGAGGTTGGTCCCAGGTGTGTCAGTCCAATACTGCATCCATTTCCAGTTATTCACCTCAACAACTCACTCTGGTTTGGAGGAAGAAACTACAGCAAGATACTGCCATTACAACTCTTATGAAATTACTTTCATAAAGATCTGAAATGATTTATAGACTATACCTTGGAATTGTATACACATGCAAACACTTCCATATAAATGGCAGAATTTTTTTCCTTGACATGAAAATTGCAAACTCCTGGGCTGCAGTCCAAACACCAACTCTCCCTGGAGCATAAAGACTGCCGCTTCACCCTTCTGCCTCAGTTGTCTCGTTTACAGCTCGGAATTACATTTTCCATTTACTTCTCAAGAGGCTCCCAAGGACCGACTAATAAGTATAGAAAGGTATATCAGATACTCAGTGATTTTTATATGGTTACATAAAGCTCTGAATAAAAGCATTATGTAATAGCAACTGTTATTATTAGAATTAGAATTAAAAGCTAATACTGCATTTGGTTGTGTAACTACTTCATAATCAGAATGTGTGTTAATACAGCTTTTATTTTTTTCTCAAGACAAAAATGCTATTCCAAGTTATTGACAACAGTATTGTTTGGAACTTTCATCAGCTTCACTAGTTAAACAATTCGTAGCTGATAACTGTGAGGACATGGAAAACAAAGGAAAGCAGTGCAGTTCTTATGGGAACAGACAGCATCTTCCTCTGGGTTTGAACAAATCCACACACAATGATCATGACCTCTGGACGCTTCAGTGCTATAAATACCAAATCATAAGTCAAAGCCTAAACTTCTCAAACCTTCTCTGCTGTTGTGTCAGCAGAATAAAATGTTAAGCCTTCTGTAATAAGGAAGAAATTAGTCAATCAGGGACTAAAAAAAATGGTTTATGTGGTTAATGTATGGTACTAATTTAGGTTGCTGAAGCTGGCAGCAAATGCTGCTGCTCTAAGGAGGGTGGTACGAAGTTTCAGGTTGATCCCGTGGTTCCCTCCCACCACCTTCCAACATGTATATAAATTGTCAGCTCTCCAGACTCTTTGCCAGTTTTCTCTTCTAGACTTGCCAGAAGCAACAGAGGACTAAAGATGAAGATCTTTTTCTTATTCACCTTTTCCACTTTTTTGTTTTCTGCTTTTGAACAAGCAGCTGCTTCTGCTCACTATGACAAGATTTTAACTCATAGTCGAATAAGGGCACGCGACCAAGGGTAAGTAACTGGGTTTTATTTCTCTTTTAAAAGGGAGCTTGTTAATCTTTATTCTCCCCTTTCTTCTCGCAGTATATTAAATGTGATTTTTCACTATGAATTCTTACTATCATTCAAGTAGAACTTCCTTTCTCAACTAATTTTACTAGAATTGTTCCTAAATAAAAAGCTTTCTAGGGAGTTTCAAAAGGAGAGAGATTAACATTAAACTTCACAAAATGTGGAAAAAACTAAAATCACCACTTCTCAATGAATAAAATACATGTGGCTTAGAATCACTTAAGTTATTTACAGTTCACAATGTAATGGGACATCAGATATGTTTAATATATGTTTTCAAATGTTTGAATAGAGTTGACACCTATGCTACAGTATTTGCTGTCTTTATTCCATTCTAAAATCATGAACTCTATTTAAATGCTTTCTACCATGAGAATATATACTGGGAGCCCTTTGTAAAACTTCTGTTCCTACTAGAGCAATGCAGCAAGCTGCTCAGCAGGGTACCCAAAAGACAATGCTTACAAGCCAGGCTGCTCAGAAACATGGAAACAATTCGGACAGCTGGTGCCAGAGAGACACATGTGTCTAAACATATTTTCCTTCAGTCTTCTTAAGTAAAAAACATTCTGTGAATAAGAACTTTTTACCACCCTAGCTTCCTTTGTTGAATTCCCTCTGCCTGCTACACACATACAGACACACACAGACTGAGCTTTCCAAATAAAAAAGTTCACTGGCTTCCCACTGATGTAAAATATATGTTCTAACTTTTGAACTTATTAATTTTTTAAATTTAGAAATATAAAAATTAGTGACAAAATGCCCTTGTACCATGGAATTTGCCCTTAAGAAATTCCTCTGCTGTGCACTACCACGCTAAGGAAAAAGTATTCCTTGTTTAAAATCTGTGACTCCTTTTATTTACATGCCAATTTACCCTTTGGTCCCCAGTAATTCCCAGAATGTTTACTTAGGTGCTTGCGGTACTCCAAATGGTTGGTTATCAAAATAGCTGATTGATTTACAGAAGAGAGGGTTTTCTTCTACAGAAAGAACAAGGCACTTTTCTTCCCCATCTCCCCATGACCTCCAGCTGCACAGATGTGTACAAGACAAAAACTTTAATGAAAAAAGCCTGATGGTATTCACAGCTTGGTCCCTGGTGGCTGGTAATTAATACACTTCGCAGGGGGATGGGAGAAGCGTAAGGCATATTGAGACTTGACTAGGCACAGCTGGCGATCACTGCCTATCAGAGACAGAGGGTCAAACCAGAATGGAGGGGAACCTTCTGTCCCTGCTGGGAGGGTGGGCTTGCCAAGGAACCCAGCTGGGACCTTGCACCATGCTTGCTTGAAAACACACCTGCCTTGGGAACTGAAGCCAGATGTTCATTTCTTACTCAACAGAAACGGTATTTGCTGCTATTTTATATAGAACTTTTCAAAAAATATACAGAAACTTCTTTTTAAAATGTTTCTTACTCCCACCCATAGCCCAAATGTCTGTGCCCTTCAGCAAGTTATGGGAACAAGAAAGAAATACTTCAGCACCTGCAGAAACTGGTATCAGGGAGCCATCTGTGGAAAGAAAGCGTAAGTATGCTCTGTTTCAAAACTATTCCCCATTCATTGAGATAATATAATATACGATTAGAAAACTCTCCTTTTCTCTGAGACAAACTAACTGTTTCAAATGCAAACACAGGAAGAATTCAGTTTATAATTTTACAGGTTTACAGCTTCTCTTAGCTGCTTCTAAAACCACCTAGATAACTGATCCAATAATTATTGCCAGAAATAATCACAAAAGGAGTGAAAAGTCTGAAAATGACAGCATAGTATATAGTCTTTTTTTAAGTTTAAGAGGCTTTGAAGTCCTAGTTTCAGCAGTGCTTCTCTGAGTTAAGTATTCATAGCTCTATTTTAAACATAGAGATATGAGGTTAAATGACCTACCCAAAACCACAGAGGGACCTAATAGGCCACTTGTGAATAGAACTCAACACTACCGAGCAGAGCTATATGCTCAGATTACACCTCTCCACAAATTAAAAAAAAAAAAAAAAAAACAACGGTCGTGGATACAAATTAAATCTGGATGAGTTTGGCATTCTTTTAGAATCTGTGTGTGTATTTCAAATGTAACTTCTTCTCACAATGCAAGTCATTGTCTTCTCTGTGATGAAATGTCAAAGTCACTACTGCTTCATCAGCCGTAGAGCAGCTTCAGAGTGTGAACACATACAAAACACCCAGTCCTGAACTTAGTCTGCCCGACTTCTCTCACTTAGAATGAAGTAATTTAACAGAGACTGACATTGTTTACCCAATGCAATAAACTGATGTTTTTCTCGTGTACCACATTTTCTCTTGCTGTTGTGCAATTACTTGGATAAATTTCTCAGCAGTTGTGACAGGAAATCATTATTTTTATTTTCCCATTATTCTCTTACAGGGTCCAAATAGGTCTGGGGTGACATTTTCAGTAAGGCTTGAGTGAACAGGGAGTCCAGGCTTCAATTACAACTCTGTCTTAGGGTATTAGGAATCTCATAGCGAAAGCCTACAAAACTCTTCCAAGTGCCCAAGTAATATTTAAGTACACAATTTATATAATCACTGAGAGAGTGTATGCCTTAAGACATAAAAATGTTAAGTTATATTGATACATGGTGCAAATTATACGTATGAGGAACTTAACTCCATTTAAAGTAAGATTTGTATTTAAAACTTTTGTAATGAACATCAGCCACCGGTTTAGATGTTAATGCAATGTGGAATAAAGTTTTTTTGTTTCTGTGCCAAAGGCTCCCTTAACAGAGGTTAATATGGAAGAAAAATATTCACAGTGTTAGCAACATAAGCCAGTTGAAGATGCCTCCCTTTGTAAACAAGCTCTTAAATTATTTTGAAAATGTTTTTCTGATCAACAATAATTCACTAAATAAACTAGAAAGAAGAGCTTGAACAAGAAGTGACTGATAATTTGCATTTGGTTATTCATATTTTTATTCTCCTGATTGTCAAAGTCACAAGTAAATACAATCCATATTTTCTAGTCCATTCTTCAAGTTTAAAAAAGTGTTTCTGAATATAGACACAATGATAAACTCTGGGGAAAAAAAAAAAAAAAGATATATTTGACTTTAAACAATTACACATAGGTCATATTGAATCCAAGTGAGCATTTATGAACAGAATATTTTTAAGTTAAAACTGCAACTATAAGACTATGTAAACTTGTATAAAATTCAATGAACCGTTCTTTACAGAAATTAAAAAAATTCTGTGTTAACAAAGAATTAGATGCAGACACAATCTGGGTTTGTGCTGGGGAATGGGAGTGGGGGCACAAAAAATGGTGCAGAGTGTGCATGGACCACTAGCAGTGCTAATACGGCTACAGTCTCTCATGTTCTCTTCAGTGCATCTACATATATGACAATTTCATAATTAAAAAAGTATCCTTTTCCTGTTTATTTTTTCATTTCTTTTCAAAGCCAGTTTTACATTTTGTTTAATTTTTTTTGGCTGTCCTGGCTGACAATTATATTCATAGTTCTTTTTGAGCATGATCCCTATACTTACTAATGTAAAACTGATTAAGACTCCCAAATGACTATGTAAGAAAAATGCCTCCAGTAACGATTTTTGCACTGTTAAAATTGGACATGTAAATCAGATAGTAGTCAGGCAAGGACCTGAAATGGGCTTGGATTGCAGTTTCTACTGCTCCTGTTGGGTGCCAGAGGCTTTGCATTTTTTGTGATTCCTGAAAGCTGCTACATGTCGTAACACAGTGTTGGAAAGGATCCTTAGGAAAAAGACTGAGGGAAGATGTAGTAGGAGGAAGTTTTCTTCTACTTTCTTTCTGCGAAAATGTTTTCAGTGCTCTGACAGCACACCATAAATTAACGGAGCTGAGTTATACTTCCAATACCGTGAGACACTGATTCCAACACACAGTCTTGCCTTTCAAGCACTGCAATGGCTTTGAAGTCTCAACTCTAAAGTCAGTCTAGACATGAAGAATGGTACCATGGCCCCACCAGAGCCAAGGAAAAGACCTGATTTTCATGGGCCAAGCTGTCACCCTAAGCTTTCTGCTATTGTAAATTTTATTGGTTACTAATTACTTACTTAAGGAGGCAGAAGAAAGTAACAGCGGTAAGTTAGAGTGGACATAGCACAAATTATAATGACCAGATGAGCAATCTGATTGTTCTAAAACCTCAGAAGTTTCTTTGGAATGTGATTGACTGTCTGGAATCCTAACCAGAGTCTCCCATTTTGACTTCGGCTTTGTTTTTATAAGCAAATCCAGGCAGGTTAGAACTCATTTTTCATACAAATTGCAGATTTGTATGCATTTCATGATGGTAATAATGATCGATTTCCAGTCAAACTAGATTGCGTGTGGTCATTTGCCCCACCTCTACCTTTAGTTTGTTCAGGACCTGTAGGTTTATAGTTTTTACCAGAATCTTTCCTTCTCCTCCAGGTGGCATTATAATACTGGCTTCCCTTTTCCTTCAGTGGACATGTTACAAATCATCCAAAATACTTAACCTTTTGAGTAAAGTCTGCCATGCCACTGACTTTGGCACTACATTTTATTCCACTGCAGACACATTGGGAAGAAGAATATTTCCTGAAAATTACTTAGACTGAAACTGAGATATTCTCAAAGCCAGTTTTGGAAAACAACCTACTCCTGTGGTTTTATTCCTAGATAGATGTCATGTCTTCCCATGAGAGAAAGTCTGCTCTCAGCACAAATCTGACAAGGAATTCATCACTTTGCTGAGCTCCAGAAGTAAAACGAGTTGTGCAGTGGAAAAAAAAAAAAAAAAAGAGTTTTCAGGAAAAATGGTTTGAAGCAATAGGCAGTTTGGACTCATTGAAAGAAAGTCAGGTGGTGACTTTTTTCTCTTCACTGACTAGAATTTAGAGGAATATAAGCCGTAAAACATTTTACAGAGCCTGTGTAAGGTCCTAAGCAAGAAGTCTGCTACAGCCAACCAGAGGAAGACATTGAGCAGTGGGGCTGGGTGGATTTGGGCATAAGAGTCTACACAGAACTACCACCTATCTTCTCCCTCTTCTTTCAACACTCTTACCATTGTACAAGCACTCACACAGCAACGCTAGAGGGGGAAAACAGTGTGTATGAGAGTAAGTTAAGTCATGGAATGCCTGAGGGGTTTTTTTGTGGCTGTAATAAAGCACCTGTTATAACTTACTCTTAGCTGTTACTGGGAGTTTTATACTCTATGTACTCAAAACAGAAATGCAGACATGACTAAAGAGGTTACTGTAATACTGTAATAACAATCCAAAGGACAATGGCTCTTCTCATGTTAATATCTGTTAACAAGTCCTCTCTAACTTGTATATATGATCTATAAAATATTAATTTAAGAATGCTTTTATCATTTACACTTCCTATCCACTGCTGTAAATTTCCAATTGGGATGCAACTTAAAGATTTGTTAAAATCAAAGTCTATTGGACCGGAAGTCCAACTGTTTCTCTGCAGTTTCTCTGCATTTTATCTCCATGCCAGCAAGGAGTAGAAACAGATGAGTTGATCTAAATAAATTAAGCTGATCTGAATAAACTGAAAACTGGCTCTGTTAGCCAAGAATAATAGGGACATAAGGTGGTGTTGCTCTACCCCTTTTTCCTTTGGATGGAGGTCAGAACAACTGTATACTAAAAAATCCCCGACAACCAAACAAAAAAAACCCACCCCAAAACAAAACAAAAAAACCCCACCAAAACCTCCAAAAACTCAGGAATCCAGCATTGCTTGTTGTCTGAGTAACTGCTTGCTTTGCTTGGGCACCATCTTATATTGAACTAGTAGGGAGATACAGATGAGGGTAACTTACGGTGTGAGATGGTACTTCCCCTGTGCACTATGTCTGTACATGAGTGGTACTGAGGAACTGCACTGAGTTTTACCTGGTTCTAACCTCATATTGGGATCTTCCATACAGACCCCTTTTCTTCCATTCCATCTTTCTCACTACATTTTGAGCACAGCTGATACATGACCTTCTAACTGCAGGTAGATGTAAGGGAACATAAATACTGTAAGTAGGAACTTACAGTAACCCTTGATGACTGAAAAAATAGCCTGGGCTGTACATAACAAGTTACATGGTAAAAAAGGCACTGATCTTGTAATGCTTGGCTGAAGAAGCATTTTCTTTCTTAACTATGTTCTTCAGCCAATTTTCTGCCTTTCATTAATTGTGTCATTGTTGGATATGATAAGGACACTAAACTTGCCATGTCTTATTCTATGCTTATAACCCAGCTTCCTCTTTCCTTTTTCCAAAATCCAGTTAAGACTGCAATCTTTCGTAGTTGCTCATGGGCTGAGGGGGAAATATTTTGTATTCCATGGAAGGAAAAAGTATTTTCTCATGACAAAGCAGTTCACACAGTTGGGAGAACATTCTGACTCCTATTCTGCTACCCAGTTTTCTTTATTTTTTTTTTTTTTAAATTAGATTCTGGCAGGGATTCAACAAGTAGGAAGAGCATAAGGTTAATTTCCTCATTAGTTAGAAAATCTGTAGCCTAAGCTGTATGCTATTCTTGCATTCCCAAGAAATAGCCATTCAGTGAATTGCTTTAAAGATAGAGATGTATTAAAAAGAACTATACAAATAGTTTCAATATATGGCTTCTCAGTTGAAAAGATGATGGCAGAAGAGTGAATATGTAATGTGTGTATATGTGTATGAGGGAATAGAGACAAAGTATTTTCACAGCACAGAGAAATGAAAGACTATGTATTTTTTTAAAAAAAATCTTTAATCTTCACCAGCTCTATCAGATTGCTGTCAATTATGGAATTATAATCCTCACTTTTAAAATCATGCTTTGTAATCCTAATGTTCTTCCAGTCTACTTTCATTTTTTAATCTCTTCAAGTAGTTTGGATGTTGAAGGTCTTAAGTTCAACTTTTCATTTGAATAAGCTGTTCATTTTGATGTGTTTGTGCTTAATGTTTTGTCAGCTTTAGTTTATGAAAAATGAGAGAATTGTACTCAGCTGCCACCAAAGAGCCTACAAACTAAAAGCTGGAATGTAGTGGTAAAGACTCAGCAAAAACCTTCAAGGACTTAGTGTTCAGAACTCTAGCACTGCCAACATCAGGCACACCTATAAAAATAAATCTATTATGTAAAACCATGACAGCAATTTTCCCTTGTCATTCATAGTGTACCATAGTTTGAAAAGTAATATCAGAAGTCCAATGTCTTAAAGTTTATGTTTTAGAATTTGGCAAGATTGTATAATTTGTTGGCATTCCCTCTCCTGAGGAGCCAAAATCAACTCTGCAATAACTTCAGTGAATTTGCAATTTCATGTAAGAGAGGAGAATTTGTCAAGCAGATCTATGGTAGTGCTTTTATTTCTGTCATATTAACTAAGAAGACATTATGTTTTGTAAGACCATCAATACTAAATTGAGTGTTACAGAACAGAATTATCAGTTAGCCCTGTTTTGCTGTTATGTATAGCTTACACGTATTCAAGAATGAGAATATTGACCTCATTATATAACAGTTCCTGGTCCCCAGTATTGCTAAATTCTACGTATGCTGTGATGACATACTCTTTTAATTCTGTTTTTGATTTCTTGTAGTCTGGTTTTCATCCTTACTGCATTTACTAGTGAACTTTCCCTTGTGTCCATCTGTACAGTCTTTAGTGTCTTCCTTCTCTAGAACTTGCTTTATGTCTGTTCTTTTTTAGTTTTCTCTCTCATTCCTAAGCTTCTTCAAACTCTTCCTTGAAAAACTGAGGCTCTACCACCCTACTTTATATCACCACACAATCCACAGGACCTTGTCCTAAATACCTGTTTAGTTCCTATATTCAGTATGTAGGTGACCTCATGTAGTTTTGTCATTTTAATTTCTGTTCAGTTCATTTAATTTTTTTATTCTTCCTTTACAACCCTGCTGTCACCAGTTTCTCTCAATATCCTCACTTTCTTTAATTTTCCCTTTCTTCAATCCCACCTAATCTTTTCAAAACTGACCAGTTAAATTTTCTTCAGCTGCTGTTCTAATCACATCATCTTTTAATAACTCTACATGAGTTCCACATCCCTTCCATGTTCTTTCCTAGCATTTAAACTTAATGATGGCAGTCATTCTGTAAATTCAAAAGCCTTGCATTTAGTAAAATACAATCAATTTGTAGTCTATACAGAAAAGGTGGAATGATAAAAAAAGGATGAAGATCTGGAGAGTGTGTACTTAGCAATGAAAAATTAATAATAAAAAAATGAAAAATTAGACTCAGCTAAAATTAGTATACACTTGTCCTGTATACTATTTAATTGTGCTTTTGTCTATATCCCACAGAACTGTCTTATATGAGTGCTGTCCTGGCTATATGAAGATGGAAGGTACAAGAGGATGTCCAGCAGGTACAAGCTTATTTTCATACAGATGAGTCAGTATATGAGAAACATTACAACACAGGGGACTTTCAAAGGTGGTCATCTTGAGAAATGATTGCGTCTTTTTAGGAATTACTGCCTGGGAATACACAGCTTCATTTGCATACAGCCAATACAGTTAAAAATCAGCCAGCACTGAATTTGATCATGCAGTTGAAGTTGCATTTCCCAGCTCCTTCCAGTTGCTGGATTGGAGAGGAAAGATAGTGTCTTCAGTTCCCAAAGCTGCCAAAGAAGAACTTTTACTCCTATTCCCATCATGTCCCAGAAAAACCTAAAACATACCAGCAAGGTCAGAAACCCAGGACATGACATGTGGCATATCTAAATTCTGTTTATTCCTTTTCCTGAGAAGACTTGAATCTTATTTACTAAAAGAGTGTTATAGGCTTTAAATAAACTAAGGAGGAGTGAAAATGAAGACAGGAATTCTTGATTTCTCCTATTTGTGCTATTGTTTTTTGCATAAATAAAACTAATTGCAGCAGGGAAGAGTAATCTGAGAAGAAATATATTTCACAACTTCAGACCCCTATAGTGAACTAATCCTTTTATATTCAATAATAGTTAGGCATATCTAAGGCACAGTTCAGTTTGTTTAGATTAATTAATTTCATTTTAGATGTTTACATTAGGATGAGGTCAGTCACACTGTAGAATTGCCTGTTCCTCTCCATGACTGTAAAAAGAGCCAACAACTAGCTCGCGTGCAGATGCTTCACTTCTAGATGCCTAGAATTAGGACATATTAACCCTGTTCTCATGTAGGAGTGTTTTAACTGTGAGACTATGGCCATTATTACTATCTTGATGAATCAATATATGCACAAACCACACACTGAAGAATAATAATTCTGGTCCACCATGACCAAATGAGACCCAGTCTATTGAAATTTTTGTCTTTATAGATGGAATTTACTCTTGTCCTCAATGGATAGCCTCCCATTTTAGGTTGGGTTGGCACAAAACAAGACAACTCTTCTAACGAAAACATTACAATATTCAGTTTTGTTTGATCTAAATTTTCATTAAACAAACAAACAAACAAAAGCAGATGTATTTGGATGATTTTTGAGTAGGTTGACAATGGAATTTTACTCCAAGCACATTGTTTTAATATTGATTTAAACAGTTTCAGAAAGTTGATACTATTGTCCAACCAGAAGAAACAAAGTAGGTTTGATTGTGAGAAACTGAATTACTTTACTGTATTCTTATCTCATGTTTATTTTAGTTGCTCCTATTGATCATGTATATGGTACACTTGGTATTGTGGGAGCTACCTCCACACAGCAGTATTCTGACATGTCAAAGCTGAGAGAAGAGATTGAGGGACGAGGATCATTCACTTTCTTTGCACCAAGCAATGAAGCCTGGGAGCAATTAAATTCAGTAAGTGTGTGTGTGTGTGCACACGCGTATGTGTTGAAGAGTGTTTCTCTTTCACTTAATGTTGTTTTAGCTGCAACAACTAGTCTATGATGAGGTAGACTAGAAACAATATTGATATCTTAGATATAAAAGGACATTACACAAATTATAATAAAACAATTTTCATGTTTAACAGGCATTGCTGAGGCTAGAGAGTCTGAATTTATTTTCAGGAGTACTAAACAACAGTCTTTAATTTTAAGCATATGCATGAGAAATACTAATATTGTTAGTGTTATTAGAATAGTTTTAGGGAAACTGACAGGAATTCCAACAATTGCCTGTTGTAGAGTATAACTGCACTTTGTCAGTGATTCAGGTGTCCTTCTTTTAGTAATGTTTTTAGTAAAATAAATATTGAATCAAAGTTCCTCCAATGACTTGTCTGTGATGAGACCTCTTGTCTGCCATTTGTGAGCATATCAGACTAATGCATCGTTTAAGTAGACACAGATTGATAGGTATCAAAGTCATACCTCCTAACAGGAAATACCCATTGTTGAATATATCGAAAGCATATGTTAAGGTAAAGCAACATGTACATCTTTCTGCCTGAAAGAATGTTTTGAAGTGTCTAAGTAATTAAAATACTTTCTTCTTCAGGAAACTCACAGGAATTTGATTGACAATGTAAATATTGAACTGTATAACGCTCTCCACCACCACATGGTAAATAAGCGCATGTTGACAAAAGATCTTAAGAATGGCATGACTCTGGTGTCCATGTATAATGACCAGAAATTGCTTATTAACCATTATCCTAATGGGGTAAGTCTATTCTCTTTTTCTTTTTCCCCTAATATAATTTTTCAGTTATAGCTATGACTCTTTCCTTTATTTCCTTATATAGCCAAGAAAATAGGCTGTAGAAAGTTTAACATCTAGCAAGTCAGTTGCCACTGACAAAAATAAATAAATTTTTTCTTGAAGAGATTTTGTCTGCTGTGTAGACTATCACTAAGAAGGAATTAATGAACACGTGCTGTTTGCTGTTTAGAAATCAAAGTTCAAACAAGAAGAAACTTTATTCCTAAAAGAAAAAGCCTTTTGTGGCCAAAATATATGATCCTAATAAATATGAGAGCAAAATCTACGATTAATCTTCATGTGTTTACAAAATAATATTAAATCAGATCTTTTATTTGAATTAGAGTGCATAGTAGAAGCATTTAAGATTATAGGAGACACACACCCATTATTTGGCTGGAAAAAAAATCAGGTTTATAAATATTAGAAATCTCCCAGTCAAGTCACTCATCTTTGTTGCCTTAAATGCATTGAAATGTTTATGTTGGACTACAGTTTGCATCAGTAAAAACCAATACAATCACCATATTAACCAGATATGGAAAACAAATCTGAATTATTGCAATAAGAAATAAAACATGGATATGGAATCAATGTAGCCTGAATAAATCTGCTGCTAGCTTTCCAGGAGCTTAGTCAGCCTTTCAAATCTTGCAAGATTTTACTTAAAATTTAAAATAAAAACTGAAAGAACAACAAACACATTATGTACATTACATATGTTGCCAATCTGTAAGAATCAGTTTCCAAGTATATGATCAAATTAATGATTAATCTTCTTCTGCTTGATTCTTCAAATATAGGTTGTTACTGTTAACTGTGCCAGGATTATCCATGGCAACCAGATTGCTACCAATGGTGTTGTTCATGTTATTGATCGTGTCCTGACCGCTGTTGGAAATACCATTCAAGATTTCATTGAAGTCGAGGATGATCTTTCATCTCTTAGAGTAAGTGGACAAAAATAAAAACACTTCTCTGTTTTTTTAGTTTCTTCTTCTTTTCTGTTTATGTATGATACCTGGAAGTAAGAAGGGTTAGTTCTGTAAGACAGAAATAAAGTAAATTAAGAACTCCAGCTAATATTGCAAATTAAGCTCTATAAGAAGGCAGTATATTTTACATAAGGAGTCTGCTTCTGCTCTTCTGTGGATCAAATAAGACCACATCAATAGCACAGAATGTGTCCCTGTACATAGAAAACTCTGTCTTCTCTTCTAGCACTCACAAGGTAATGAAACGTGACAGCATAAGTTACAGTGTCTGGTGCTAGATAAACAAGAATAATTTCAAACTGGATGACAGAAAATGGTAAAGAAACCAAATAAATTCCAGAATCTGACTTATAAGAAGTTTCAGAACACCAGTAGATACATGTAGGTAGGATTTTTCTTGCAGAGAGGAAACAGGGTTATTCTGTGCTGGAGTATGTTCAGAGAAGGGCAACAAAGCTGGTGAAGGGTCTGGAGCACAGGCCTTATGAGGAGCGGCTGAGGGAACTGGGGTTGTTTAGCTTAGAGAAAAGGAGGCTGAGGGGAGACCTTATCGCTCTCTACAACTACCTGAAAGGAGGTTGTAGTGAGGTGGGTGTTGGTCTCTTCCCCCATGTAGTTAGCGATAGGACGAGAGGAAATGGGGTCAAGCTGCGCCAGGGGAGGTTTAGGTTGGATATTAGGAAAAATTTCTTTATGGAAAGGGTGGTCAAGCATTGGAACAGGCTGCCCAGAGAGGTGGTGGAGTCACCATTTCTGGAAGTGTTCAAAAAACGGGTAGATGTGGCACTTTGGGACATGGTGTAGTCTAGTCTACCCTTGATTGGTTTAGTGTGGACTTGGTAGTGTAGGTTAATGGTTGGACTGGATGATCTTAAAGGTCTTTTCCAACCTAAACAATTCTATGATTGTATGATTCTATGTCCAAGTTTCTAATTTCTCCTTCTAGAAGATTTGTCTGCTTCATGTAATGGGATTTCATGCTGCACATGTTTAAAAAATTATGCCATGCTTTTGCAGATAGCTGTTGTCCTTTTCTCTCCTCCATCTCCTCAGTTAATACAAACAAGTATTTTAAATGCAGAGGCATAAAGGTGGAAAGGATCCTGTGAATCACTCAAATCCAGTCCATTACAGTTATAGGCAACCACATCATGTAATGCCTTTAAAAAACTGAATATAAAAGCCAACCCTTTCTCATCTCCAGATGAAAAAGAAGCACTCTCTATTTCATTTTTTCCTGTGCATTCTTTCTTGTATCTCTTCTATTTGGGTTTCACTTTTGTGAACGCTAAACAGACATTTTCATCTAAGCCTAGATAAGGTCTTACCTATTCCTTTTATATTAACTTGCATACCTTACTAACTCTGCTTCAAAATAACTTACTGTTTTCCAGGATACATGCTAGCATCATGCTGGGTTTTCTTTCAGTCGCATCACACTGCACTCTGCCTTTCTGATTTTTCAAAGGGTGAAGTCCCTGTTTATAGCACATGCACCTGCTAATTCCTGTGTGCATGCCTCTGTACTTCATACTGCTTTAATGACTTTGGCTCCAAAAGCAAATATGCTAATAAAACCATTAAACAAAATAAGCCCTGAGACTCTGATATGACATTTCTTTTAGGATGGCTATTCCCATCTTCCAGTTAGACAGTTTCATATGCACTTTATCTTTCTGTCTTAGGTTGAGCTAATACTATTTCATATTTAACTGAGCAAATTCTTAAGTCCAGATATGCTCAATTTTACATATGTTCTTTTTCTAGAAAATCAGATCATAATCTATATTGGCCTACTGTATCATATTATGCTTTTAATCCATCATATATTCTCACAATATCTTTGATTACTTTTCCTGCATTGTTCTTTTTCTTCAGCCATTGATTCTAATAAGGACACCTTGCAGCCACCTAAGAAATATATATTGTTATAGTATTCTCTTTTAGGATTAATCCAGTAATGGAAACACCTAAATTGTGAGACTGTACAGAGGAGATTTATAAGAAAGTTAAGAAGATTTATTTAAGGAATGAAAGGGAAATTATATTTTTTAAAAATATATTTAGTTGGGTTTTATTTAGTTCAGACTGCTTACCTCTTCCTCATTACTAGAAAGTAGAGAATTTTTCATCAGTTGTGTTTAACTTTACTTTTTTTAATGTCCAGAGCTGAGTAACATTTTAGGGATAAAAAACCTGGAGATAATTTTCCTGGCTTCAAAGCCTGAGATGGAATGGAATGGAATGGAATGGAATGGAATGGAATGGAATGGAATGGAATGGAATAGAATAGAATAGAATAGAATAGAATAGAATAGAATAGAATAGAATAGAATAGAATAGAATGGAATGGAATGGAATGGAATGGAATGGAATGGAATGGAATAGAATAGAATAGAATGGAATGGAATGGAATGGAATGGAATGGAATGGAATGGAATGGAATGGAATAGAATGGAATGGAATGGAATGGAATGGAATGGAATGGAATGGAATGGAATGGAATGGAATAGAAATTTCAGTTGGAAGGTATGTACAATGATCATTTAGTCCAACTGCCTGAGAGCTGACCAAAAGTTAAAGCATGGTATTAAGGGCATTGTCCAAATGCCTCTTAAACACTGACAGGCTTAGGGTATTGACCACCTCTCTAGGAAGCCTGTTCCAATGTTTGAGCACCCTCTCAGCAAAGAAATGCTTCCTAATGGCCAGTCTAAACCTCCCCTGGTGCAGCTTTGAACCATTCCCATGCATCCTATCACTGGACACCAGGGAGAAGGTACCTCCCTCTCCACTTCCCTTCCTCAGGAAGCTGTAGAGAGCAATAAGTCACCCCTCAGACTCCTGTTGTGATTAAAAACCTCCTCCTTCTATTTAATCAAATTAGTCATACACTGTAATACATTTTTTATTATTTCAGGGGCAAATTATGAGCTCTGATAGACTATTGCTTTGATCTAATTAGTCAAAAACTGTATGTTCACATTTTTCATTTTAAAATTCAGGCCATAATAATAAGAATTTCTGTCCTGTTGTCACCTCTGTCAGAATTTATTGGTTACTGTGTGCTAAATTAAGGAAGTACCTTGGTATATCAAGACACTTTTTTCCCACAAAATTAATTTTCTTTTCACTTTTGTCAATTCATTTTTTCATCTTTCTATAACACTGATTTCAGTCTAGCATTAAAGTATCTGTGGGCACTAGGTGAGACTAGGGAGATAATGTATTTTGGTAATATTTTAAATAACCAACATTAAAAACCAAACTTATTTTCTAGGCTGCTGCCATCACATCAGGTGTCTTGGATATTCTTGGAAAGCCTGGTCATTACACACTCTTTGCTCCCACTAATGAAGCTTTTGAGAAACTTCCAAGGGGAGTCTTAGAAAGGATCATGGGCGACAAGGTGGCTTCTGAAGGTATGTAACCTTTTTTGCAAATAAGAAATACAGGTGAGTAGATCAGGAGGCAGAAACTATGTTATCATAGTAGCTCTGAAATTTAGCACCTGTACTTTCATACATACAGGAGGAAATATTTCTTCTGTCTTTGATTTTTTCAGTTACCTAAGGATTCAAATTTACCGAAAACTTCATTTCTAAAACAGTTTAAAGGAAACTGTAAAAATATAGGCACATTGATACTTCTAATAGTGCAGCTGCATAGTTCCGATAGAGATTCCTGCCTCTAGAAATGCATGGCTGTCTGAATGTGGGATTCTCTCACAGCTTTCTCATGAACAGCTTTTTCATACAAAAAGGACATGTTCTTGTAAAAGGCCAGTTCTGCCCTGCAAGTTGAACTGAATTTGTACTATATATTCTGAGAAACTATAACAGTCAGCACACTTACTCTTCTGAGAACTACAATAAAAATAAATAATAACTGAATCAGTCTGTTACATGAACAGTAATGTAGTGGACCACTAAGAAATGGAAGGCTACATTTCTGTTCTCATTTATGAGCTCCACTGCACGAAACAAATTCTCCGTCATTTCATTATAGCCTGATTTAAGTCACTGTGTAATATCTCAATGGAGAATGGTGAAAAGAGGGATCTGGGCTAATTTTAATGTAAGACAATGACTAAAAATGGAATCCTGAAATAACACAGCATTTTTGTTGTGGCTTTTTTTTTTTTTTTTTCCAGTTTGCTTTCAGGAATTTTGGGTGATGCTTTTGTTACCCATAGAGGATAGTACACTGAATCTCACCTATATAGTAAGGTATAACAAAACATAAATCCGGGGCTGACTTTGTGTAGCCTATACAGTTTTGTACTCAGAGGTTCATTTGGAGCATATCATGTGCATTCACTGAGTTACATGCAGATTACAGCATAATCAGTATAGTTTTCATAATATAAGGGATGCCAAAGATTTTTGACCATAGATGTTGTTTAGAGGCCTATAGTATCAATTTTCATATAAATAGCTTTCAGTAAAGAATCTGAGTGCAAATAAACAAATATGCTAGATAAGCTAGTAAACTATTAAAAATAGTGTAGATGTAATAATTTATCCCACACCTATATGTGAATTTTATATATATATATGAATATATGTGTCCAAACACCTATATATGAACTTCCTGATCTTTTCTCCACAGCTCTTGTGAAGTTCCATATTTTGAATACTCTCCAGTGCTCTGAAGCCATCACAGGTGGAGCTGTCTATGAAACCTTGGAAGGAAACACAGTTGAAATTGGTTGTGATGGTGAAAGTCTGACTGTGAATGGAGCGAACATGGTGAAACGCAAAGATATTGTGACAAGCAATGGTGTTATCCACCTCATTAATGAAGTGCTAATTCCTGATTCTGGTCAGTGATATGTATGAAAAACTTCTTACACTGAAGATGTTTTCTACAAACTTACCCAGATTCCCTCGGATATATTGTTATGGATAATCATGGAGAATCCAAATCAGGAAAAGGAATAAATTGTGTGTTAAAATACCTTTTCTCATTCCTTTATTTGCAGCCAAGCAAGTCATTGAGCTTGGGGGTGCCCAGCAGACTACTTTTACAGAGCTGATGGCACAGCTAGGACTGGCATCTTCTCTAAGACCAGAAGGACAATACACTCTCCTGGCACCACTGAATGGTGCTTTCTCAGGTTAGTAGCCTTAAAAGATTATGCTCTGAATGTAAAAAAACCCAAGAACATATGCTACCCTGACAATTTTCCAAGTAAGCCCCAGTACTTAGTCCCAGGACTAAAAATCCCAGTTCTAAGTCCCAAGGAAAGAGAGCCATAGAGAAATAGAGATACTTCATCCTTTCAAAATACATACCATGCAGAAAGGCAAAATGAGCCTAACCATCAGGCTGCACAGCTTGTTTTTAGTGGTATCATTTGTTAATGGAAATAGGATCGCTAAAATATGATACAAAATATGCACAGGCAGATTGGTGGGAAAGGACAGATACTAATGAACTGTCGGTTCCCTTGATATTTTCATTACTTGCATCAGATTCACAACTTATTTGTTCTCAAAAAATTTATACAAGAAGGCTGGTATTTTCCAGTACATTAAAGCAGAGAGAAACTCAAACAAATATACTACAAAACAGGTGTTTGCATATTTGCAGAAGTGACCACATGGGCATCCTGCCCTTCCCCCAGGAATTCGAGTGTTAACTCAACAGCACAGAAACAAATTAGGAAAGGTTTTAAGGTGCACATGCAGAAAGGAAAATTGTAATAAGAACTTCAGCTGTAATTCAGAAGATGGAACAGGCTCGCATATAAATCATGTGCCATATTATTTATAGTAATTAATTAGGGCTATGTAAAAAATGCATGTCTGAATTTAAGGAATGGCAATTTGCAGAAACTACTTAACAATTCATTTTCTGTGTACATAGATCTCTCCAAGCCTTAACTCAAGCATTTCAAATAAAGATTCAGTATTCTTATGGTCTTTCAATATATCATCCTCAGTTAACCTTATTTGAATGAAAATTCACTATATAAATCACTATATATTAACATCTAAATGGCTTTGTAGATGACACCTTAGGGATGGATCAACGCCTTCTTAAAACAATCCTGCAGAATCACATTATAAAAGTGAAAGTTGGGCTCAATGAATTGTACAATGGACAAGAGCTGGAGACAATGGGAGGAAAACTGCTTAGAGTCTTTGTGTATCGCACAGTAAGTGAATGGGGCTTTCTAACAATACATATCCCAACTATGAAAATGAAGAGTCATGAAAGAATAAAAGGCAAAGCTGAATGAAACCTCCAACATTTACCATTATGACTAGCTAGCAAAAATCTTTAAGCTAGGAAAAAATGAAAATCTGATCTTTATCGATGGGAACTTTATTTGCATGGAAGACTCTTTGGTAAAACAGAAGAGGATTCTAGATTTGGCACTCCATTAATTACTAATTTTTTTAATTTTAGTTTTTAGAACTAATTAAGAACATTCTCAAGGGAAACAAAAAAGTCAAGTTTGGAAATATTTTCACCATATTACTTTACTCCAGATTTTGCTACTTTTGCTTTCTCAAGCCAGATTTCCTGGAAAGAACACACAGTTTGACTGTAGGAAATACATATGAATATTATTTTTAAATTTAGGACCCTGTTGGGAAGTAAGCATCCATCTCATTTTGTCAAATATGTTTAAATGTGTATCATTGTGTGAATAGCTACACTTGTTTCTCTTTTAATCAGGCTGTATGTATTGAAAATTCATGCATGGTGAGAGGAAGTAAAGAAGGAAGGAATGGTTTTATTCACATCTTCAGACAGATCATCAATCCAGCAGAAAAGACATTGCATGAAATGCTGAGAAATGATAAGCGTTTTAGGTGAGTAGCAGTTTTGACAGCACTGAGATTTTCCTACAGAGGGTAATAGTATGTACAGCACAGCTAGTCTGAGAAATAGTTGTGAAGTGTGGGTTGTTGGAATCTGGGGGGCAGGGAGGGCAGGGAAGGGGT